TGGGTTTTCTCCGTACGGGGATTTGCCGAGACCCAGACAGAGATGGGATTCAAAATTATAAGCTTCCCTCCGTCCTGAAAACACTGCAGCTGCTGCCGTACACTCCCAGGCCTGACAGCTTCAGAGGAACGGCTCCGTGTCTGTCAGCAATATCAATATTGACCATGTTTACATATTTATGTGTTTAAAGGCTGCATTGGCTAAGTGGCTAAGTTATCAGGGGTTAATTTTTGTGTCATTTTCCCCTCTGACTTGCTTTGCTAATACAGCACTGCACGTCTGTCTGAGCACTGCAAGGAAATCGATAGCTAATTTCTCTCCATGATCACAGATATTGAAAGCTAGGGACGGTGCGGAAGAGATTTACCTGCATCAAACGCCACATCCGCAACAACAACAGTCAAGCGTGGTCCAGATTCCCTCATGAATGCACGGCGTTGTGTGGAGACTGAAAGCTGTGCGAATACAGCAAGAAATTTCAGGTTGTACACCAAAGATGGAGAATAATCATGTCAAAGCACAGCGCTTTAGAAAGGCAGTCGACAGACTTCCAAAGCAATAACTCAAGTTCTATTAAGATCTGAAATGTCTTTAAAGAAACTTTTACACTTCTCTCTGCAGGAACAAACACTGAAAGTGGACACATGTGAAGCGGTAACGTGCCACATGCAGATTTCTGAAAGCTTTAATATACATTTTTAGTGAATAAATGCTTTTATAACCCTTGTGTTTTGACCCGTAATGGTGCCTAATGGCTGTTTACCAAATGTTCTTGTAATGGGTTTGATTGGCAGTTTCTGCAGAACCGGATCGACATCTGGATGCAGGACGGCTTTCAGGGGTTGCTTGGCAACAAGGTCACACTGGACCACAACAACCGGCGACTAACGCCACTTTGGAAGCATCTTGATAAGAGAGGATAACATGCAACCGCTGAAATAACTCTGTACCTGTCAAAAGAAGTTCTTTACTGATAACAGGGCTTTCAAGATATTTCAAGAGGGGCTCACCTGCTCATCAGAAAAACACACAGGACCAAGACGGTCAGATGATGGGAAAACAAAACTCTGCGGTGAAGATTTCTAAACAGCACACGTATAAAAGCCAAAGGAATCCGTTTTTGCTTTGGCTGAAGCTGAAAGTACTGAAATGAAGCGTAAAGAAGTAACAAATGCATCTTTTCTAATTCTACTTCTCACGATAAATCAGATTTTCCAATACATGCGCGTGAACGTAATTGCTTGCACAGCAGTTTGCTGTCTAAATAATTGATAAATAGCTATAAACAGATAATGATTTGACACAATCTTCTGTAACCTACAATCAGTGCTGGGTAGTAACGGATTACATGTGATCCGGATTACGTAATCAGATTACACAAGCTAAGTACTTGTAATTAGATTGTATTACATTTTAAAATACTTGTAATCAGACTACAGTTACTTTTTATTGATTACATGATTGCCTATTATTAACAGAATAGCAATAAATAGTTCAGAATTGGATTCTCCCAAATTGTTCTTTTTCATCTTTTAAATTTTCCTATCTAAAATATGCTACCGCTTATATACATTCATAAATTCAGAAAAAACAGCATTGACCACTGGATTTACAAACATTTGCATGTTCAGGGTTCTCTGAAGTTGGTCAATGGTCACATGGACATCCAGGTAAACAAATAAAATATGCAATTTTTATTGCTATTGTTATTTTAAATCTACGAGTAATCTGAGAGTAGTCAGATTATATTAACTAAACGTGTAATGTAATGGATTCCGTTACTAACTACAATTTTTGTCATGCAATTTGGAATCAGTAACAGACTATGATTTGTAAGTAAATCTACCCAGCACTACTTTCAATGTTTTTTTTTTTTTAATAAAGGCACAGCTTTAGGTGTTCATTACGAGTATTTTCATGACCATCATGCTATGCGTTCACTGTGAGGACAGCATTTCATCCATGTAGGCACAAGAGTATCTACATAGAAAAAGACATCGAATAATCAAACATCTAGCACCATAGACCAATGTCCGTGAGGAACGTGGAAGTTGTTCAGAAAGTTGGTGCGCAGTGCAAGATCGCTTGATATAAAAATGGAACTTTCAAGGGAGAGTCTGTGATGGTTTTCCGAGGACGTCAAATGCCGAGCAACTTTGGAAGTGAGTTTGACCTTTGGCTACGGTCACGGGGTCAGCTTTTTGACATCAGCTGTGACCTCATGAGCGCCGCTGTCGAAGGCTACACTGGGTTGGGTCTCCTGGGTCTCGTTCGTACATGGTGACATGGAGCTGTTCGATGACCCGAAATGATGAGTGTCCACCAGGAGCAGCATGGGCGTCCTGTTCCTCTTCAAGGCCTCGCTCATGGTGATGTGCACTTCCTCCGGCGTGACTCCCAGATCAGACGCAGACTTCCGCTTGATGCGCTCGTAGCTCTTGTCTTGGTTCTCAGGGAACGTCTCACTGTCTTGGAAGCGTCCGAACAGCCAGATGAAGAACCCGATGAGCACAAAGGCCGCCAGACTTGGGATGAACGCCAGGCATTTGACGTCCAGACTAACGCCCACGTAGCGGCTGTGAAGGAACATGTCTCTCTGGACGAACGTCCGGTTGGTGAGGGGGTCGGTGTTGGTGGAGCGCCACTCCCAGCTCAGCGTGCTGCGGTTGAAGTTGTGCAGCGTCTCCGCATCCTCCACGGTGTAGATCTTCTCTCCTGGACCTACGTATTGACCATATTCATAGGGCTTGTAGAAGATCTGGTTCTTCCACATGTTGAGGTCCAGGATGAGGACCATGAAGATGATTCCATAATTAAACCATTTCCCTGAGAGAGGAAAAAAAGGGAAGATGAGTGTGCTGGGAATTTATCCCAGTGTATTTCAGAGCAACATACTCAAAATGCTTTAGCAGCTCTGTATAGCAACATCCTGGCAACTACCCAAAACACCTTAGCAACTGCATAGTAACATATGCAAAACACTTAAGCAACTGTGTATAGCAACATCCTGGCAACTACCCAAAACAGCCTAGCGACTCCATAATAACATCCAGGCATTTAATCAAAACACCTTAACAGCTGCATATCAACATTTTGGCAACTACGCAAAAACACCACATCAGCTGCATAGCAACGCCCTGGCAACTACCCAAAACACCAGAGTAACTGCATAGCAATGCCCTGGCAACTACTCAAAACACCAGAGTAACTGCATAGCAACGCCCTGGCAACTACCCAAAACACCAGGCCTGACAGCTTCAGAGGAACGGCTCCGTGTCTGTCAGCAATATCAATATTGACCATGTTTACATATTTATGTGTTTAAAGGCTGCATTGGCTAAGTGGCTAAGTTATCAGGGGTTAATTTTTGTGTCATTTTCCCCTCTGACTTGCTTTGCTAATACAGCACTGCACGTCTGTCTGAGCACTGCAAGGAAATCGATAGCTAATTTCTCTCCATGATCACAGATATTGAAAGCTAGGGACGGTGCGGAAGAGATTTACCTGCATCAAACGCCACATCCGCAACAACAACAGTCAAGCGTGGTCCAGATTCCCTCATGAATGCACGGTGTTGTGTGGAGACTGAAAGCTGTGCGACTACAGCAAGAAATTTCAGGTTGTACACCAAAGATGGAGAATAATCATGTCAAAGCACAGCGCTTTAGAAAGGCAGTCGACAGACTTCCAAAGCAATAACTCAAGTTCTATTAAGATCTGAAATGTCTTTAAAGAAACTTTTACACTTCTCTCTGCAGGAACAAACACTGAAAGTGGACACATGTGAAGCGGTAACGTGCCACATGCAGATTTCTGAAAGCTTTAATATACATTTTTAGTGAATAAATGCTTTTATAACCCTTGTGTTTTGACCCGTAATGGTGCCTAATGGCTGTTTACCAAATGTTCTTGTAATGGGTTTGATTGGCAGTTTCTGCAGAACCGGATCGACATCTGGATGCAGGACGGCTTTCAGGGGTTGCTTGGCAACAAGGTCACACTGGACCACAACAACCGGCGACTAACGCCACTTTGGAAGCATCTTGATAAGAGAGGATAACATGCAACCGCTGAAATAACTCTGTACCTGTCAAAAGAAGTTCTTTACTGATAACAGGGCTTTCAAGATATTTCAAGAGGGGCTCACCTGCTCATCAGAAAAACACACAGGACCAAGACGGTCAGATGATGGGAAAACAAAACTCTGCGGTGAAGATTTCTAAACAGCACATGTATAAAAGCCAAAGGAATCCGTTTTTGCTTTGGCTGAAGCTGAAAGTACTGAAATGAAGCGTAAAGAAGTAACAAATGCATCTTTTCTAATTCTACTTCTCACGATAAATCAGATTTTCCAATACATGCGCGTGAACGTAATTGCTTGCACAGCAGTTTGCTGTCTAAATAATTGATAAATAGCTATAAACAGATAATGATTTGACACAATCTTCTGTAACCTACAATCAGTGCTGGGTAGTAACTGATTACATGTGATCCGGATTACGTAATCAGATTACACAAGCTAAGTACTTGTAATTAGATTGTATTACATTTTAAAATACTTGTAATCAGACTACAGTTACTTTTTATTGATTACATGATTGCCTATTATTAACAGAATAGCAATAAATAGTTCAGAATTGGATTCTCCCAAATTGTTCTTTTTCATCTTTTAAATTTTCCTATCTAAAATATGCTACCGCTTATATACATTCATAAATTCAGAAAAAACAGCATTGACCACTGGATTTACAAACATTTGCATGTTCAGGGTTCTCTGAAGTTGGTCAATGGTCACATGGACATCCAGGTAAACAAATAAAATATGCAATTTTTATTGCTATTGTTATTTTAAATCTACGAGTAATCTGAGAGTAGTCAGATTATATTAACTAAACGTGTAATGTAATGGATTCCGTTACTAACTACAATTTTTGTCATGCAATTTGGAATCAGTAACAGACTATGATTTGTAAGTAAATCTACCCAGCACTACTTTCAATGTTTTTTTTTTTTTAATAAAGGCACAGCTTTAGGTGTTCATTACGAGTATTTTCATGACCATCATGCTATGCGTTCACTGTGAGGACAGCATTTCATCCATGTAGGCACAAGAGTATCTACATAGAAAAAGACATCGAATAATCAAACATCTAGCACCATAGACCAATGTCCGTGAGGAACGTGGAAGTTGTTCAGAAAGTTGGTGCGCAGTGCAAGATCGCTTGATATAAAAATGGAACTTTCAAGGGAGAGTCTGTGATGGTTTTCCGAGGACGTCAAACGCTGAGCAACTTTGGAAGTGAGTTTGACCTTTGGCTACGGTCACGGGGTCAGCTTTTTGACATCAGCTGTGACCTCATGAGCGCCGCTGTCGAAGGCTACACTGGGTTGGGTCTCCTGGGTCTCGTTCGTACATGGTGACATGGAGCTGTTCGATGACCCGAAATGATGAGTGTCCACCAGGAGCAGCATGGGCGTCCTGTTCCTCTTCAAGGCCTCGCTCATGGTGATGTGCACTTCCTCCGGCGTGACTCCCAGATCAGACGCAGACTTCCGCTTGATGCGCTCGTAGCTCTTGTCTTGGTTCTCAGGGAACGTCTCACTGTCTTGGAAGCGTCCGAACAGCCAGATGAAGAACCCGATGAGCACAAAGGCCGCCAGACTTGGGATGAACGCGAGGCATTTGACGTCCAGACTAACGCCCACGTAGCGGCTGTGAAGGAACATGTCTCTCTGGACGAACGTCCGGTTGGTGAGGGGGTCAGTGTTGGTGGAGCGCCACTCCCAGCTCAGCGTGCTGCGGTTGAAGTTGTGCAGCGTCTCCGCATCCTCCACGGTGTAGATCTTCTCTCCTGGACCTACGTATTGACCGTATTCATAGGGCTTGTAGAAGATCTGGTTCTTCCACATGTTGAGGTCCAGGATGAGGACCAGGAAGATAATTCCGTAATTAAACCATTTCCCTGCGATAGGGAGAAAAAAGGGGAAGATTAGTGTGTTTGGAATTTATCCCAGTGTATTTCAGACATACTCAAAACTCTTTAGCAACTCTGTATAGCAACATCCTGGCAACTACCCAAAACAGCCTAGCGACTCCATAATAACATCCAGGCATTTAATCAAAACACCTTAACAGCTGCATATCAACATTTTGGCAACTACGCAAAAACACCACATCAGCTGCATAGCAACGCCCTGGCAACTACCCAAAACACCAGAGTAACTGCATAGCAACGCCCTGGCAACTACCCAAAACACCAGAGTAACTGCATAGCAACGCCCTGGCAACTACCCAAAACACCAGAGTAACTGCATAGCAACGCCCTGGCAACTACCCAAAACACCAGAGTAACTGCATAGCAACGCCCTGGCAACTACCCAAAACACCAGAGTAACTGCATAGCAACGCCCTGGCAACTACCCAAAACACCAGAGTAACTGCATAGCAACGCCCTGGCAACTACCCAAACCACCAGAGTAACTGCATAGCAACGCCCTGGCAACTACCCAAACCACCAGAGTAACTGCATAGCAACGCCCTGGCAACTACCCAAAACACCACAGTAACTGCATAGCAACACCCTGGCAACTACCCAAAACACCATAGCAACCACACAGTAACATACGCAACTCTATGTAGCAACATCCTGGCAAGTACCAAAAACACCACAGCAACTGCTTATCAACGCCCTGGCAACCACCCAAAACACCACAGTAACTGCATAGCAACACCCTGGCAACTACCCAAAACACCTTAGCAACTGTATAGCAACATCTTAGAAACTACCCAAAACAGCCTAGCAACTGCTTAGCAACATACTCAAAACAGTTTATCAACTCTATATAGCAACTACCCAAAACACCACAGCAACTGCATAGCAACGTCTTGCCAACTACTCAAAACACCCTAGCAACTGCTTAGCAATGCCCTGGCAACTACCCAAAACACCTTAGCAACTGCATAGCAACCATTAAACCATTTCTCTGAGGTAGAAAAATGGAAAATGTAAGATTAGCATGTTGGGAATTTATCCCAGTGAAATTGTGAGTCAGACGGCTGCTTGAGAAAGTGAAATAACTGAGTTGGGAGTCACTTTCTAATGGTTTCGTTGTTAGCGCACTCATGCGGGGTTCTTCTCGAATGCTAAATCACCGCGCCAAACAATAAGGTTAAAGACTTTTATGAATGGTTGAGCAGGAGGGCCATTTCCCAAACCTTGAGGGAGCGATCATCTATTCCCAGGATGGCCCTCGCTATAGTGAGCGAAACAGCGAGATGGAAAAAGAGAAACTAAAGCGGTTCGCTCACACACTTCAGCAGGAGTCCTTCAGATTTACTGACTCCATTATATAAACGCAAGTTTACAGATGAGCAAATACTAATTAGTATGCGCTGCCTTCAAACACATAATTATAAAGAGATGTATCTAACAAGCTAATATTCTGACAGCGTGTCCCTTTGGGAAAGGAATGAATTCATCCGTCCTGTCCCAAACTACAGTTTAGAGCACTACCGCTGGATTCACTGGCATAACTGTGCTCCCGGTGTGTTTGCTGTCGTGCCCTACTTAAGCCACGAGTGTGCGGAGTTACCCGTGATGTGAATGTGATACTCGTCTTTAAAGATGCGCTTGCACACGGGAAGTTTGATCTTCAGCTGCGTGGTGGAAAGGCCCGGGAGGTTCATGTCCAGATCGCCCATGAACTGAGGAAACTCCCAGTCCTGGAAGAGGTAGAGCCAACAAACACATCTTACTGAACACGCACCTCAAACGCAAGGATCTCCAATGATTAAACGCTTCAGGTGTTACAGGATGAGATCAAACATCACAGAACTACTGAATGGAGGGATGAAGCATGTCTGAAGGACAACCGTGAAGTAAACATCTACTGTACTGGAAAAACTACAAATATTTCAGGAACTCCTTTATGTGAATAAAGTCAAGCATCACTAGTACTGCATTTAAAATCTAGAATCCATAATCCATGCCCTAGCAACTGCATAGCAACACATAAAAACATCTATACTTAGCAAAAAAAGTAGGCCTGGCATCTAATCAAAAGACCCTAGTAACTGCATAGCAACGGAATCTAAACACTTTATCAACTCTGTATAGCAACATCCTGACAACTACCCAAAACACCTTAACAGCTGCATAGAAGTGTGTGTGTGAGAGAGAGAGAGAGAGAGAGAGAGTGTGTGTGTGTGTGTGTGTGTGTGAGAGAGAGAGAGAGAGTG